CTCGGGTTGACTATATATATCGTCGGATATGCGTGAAATTGTTATAGCAGCTAAAATACGCTCTTATGGCAGTGGGATCTTTGGTTAATGCAAATCGTGAGCCTTTTTCTTCGTCACGTGTAAGCTCGTCTGTTGTCCGCAGTTCTAGCTCGAGAACGTCTAAACGGATGTTCATTAGATTTAATACTGATAAGCTCTAACAGAATCTGTTGCATGTTCCAATTCTGTTTAAAATGTTACAACAGCAACGTGAAAATTGTACAATTTTTTTGAATGCCTTATTCCGCGCAAAATTTGCTGAGTAAGAAATCTCCAGATTACCTTGGTTACCATGGTTTCAATAAATACCTGTGCAATTCCGCTGGTAACACGCTCGCATGTGTGTGTGTGTGCAAAACAAATATTTGGTTCATCCTTTTATGCAGATATGTCTTAGGAGTTAATAATCGTCATTTATTGAACGTCTGTAAGCGTCCATTAGTTTGACAGTCCGAATGCGCTACAATCTTTGATTGCAGTCTCAGGGTTTATTAAGATCCATTACGTGTTTCAGTTCAACTACAGCATTCCACTCTCAACCACATTCAAACATCCATTCTGATTGAATAGGAAAATCCTCCAACCGATAAATCAGGTCTTCTGGCGCATCGTTCTACTTAACCAAAGATCCTACTGTCAAAAGAAGTGTATCTTAGGTGCTATAATAATTTCACGCATCTTCGACGATATATACAGAGTCATTCTAAGCAAAAAAGTTTATAAACATTTTTGCTTAGAATGACTGATGCTACGACCTAACAGAATATTGACCTTTCTTCCTGGGACACTCTGTATAGTCAACCCGAGATCACTTCAGCATGATAATTCTCAGCTGATTGACCACATAGGGACAACAGATATCAGAGAAGTGCTGCAAGAAACCTTCGTTCTACAACCAAGAGTAAATTATCCAAGGGGCTTCTAAATCATAGACAGCTTGAACATTCTAATATTTTAACCTGCCATCTTCCATTTCAGAATGCGTTTTAACCAGAGAGAAAAATGTTTCTACTCTAGTTCAAATGCTCTGTGCTTGCAGCCATTCACCTCTTACGAATACGTGTGAAAAAATTGCACGGATCCATGAAAATGTTATCTGCTTCAAATATCTTTACAATTTAGCGTTCGTACCTACTAGTTTCGAACACTTAAAGAGAACCACCTGATGATGACCTATTAATGTCGAAACATGCAATGGATCTTAGTAGACATCGAGCCCATAATCACACGCTGTTGTGTTGACGGGCCTTCAACCCAACCTTCAACATGCAGCAGGTGCCTCTCTTGACACTCGAAGCAACTAATTGTCATAATTATCTTTCGTTGTTACGTAATTTTGACGATTAATTAAAGTTATCGAAACAAAA